GKSKSGSGGGGGGGGGSGGGGGGGGGGGGGGGGRGGRGGGGCCGTGTTGGCCGAAGCGGCAGTAACTTGGAAAGCGGGGCAGTTGTCGTGTCGATGTTGGCGGACCACTGCGCTGATTCTCCCAGAACATGAACAATGACACAATGTCATCGCTACTCATGTGCGCGAATTGCATTTCTGCTCTGGAGCTGAACGTCACCCCGCGCCTCCGCTCTGGCCAAGGGGGGAAAACGATCGCGGCCGAATGCAGTCATTGGATCGTCCCGACCGTCCGTATTCCAGGATCGGACGGCCAGCAGGCGAGCGTGGAGGGCCCACCCGAAAAACTACATATATGAGGCAGGCCCACCACTCCCCATTCGATCATCCCGACTGTCAGAATCCCCGGATTGGACGGCCAGCAGGTGCCAGCGAAGGGCCCACCCGAAAAACTATATATATGAGGGAGGGCCACCAGTTCCCATTTTCGTTTCAGTTCGGCAACGCAGCTATAGCGCAGCGCAGCGGAGGTTCGTCAATGCAGCGCAGCGGAGGCTCGAGCCACAGCGCAGCGCAGTGGAGGCTCGTGTTCAGCGTGGCAACGGAGCGCAGGGATTCGGTCCGTGCATAGCAGACCACCTGCTCGACGCGACGGCGGACCACAGCACTGTCGAGAGGCGTGTTCAGCGTGACGACGGAGCGAGCATACGACCCAAGATCGTGACGCACAACCACAGCAGAGCACGTCGAGTTTTAAGGATCAGACGGTGAGGACACAACCACGCAGCCCAGATGCAATCACGTAACGCCACGTGGCACTTTCGGTCGTCGAGTCGAACACGATCGTGCTCGATCGTCGAGTCGAACACGATCACGCCCGATCGTCGAGTACAACACGATCGTGTGCGATCGTCGAGTCGAACACGATCGTGCCCAATCGTCGAGTCGAACATGGTCATGCCCAATCATCAAGTCGAACACGATCGTGCTCGATCGTCGAGTCGAACACGACGGCGCCTGACCGTCGAGTCGAACACGACAGTGCCTGATAATCAAGTCGAAAACGATTGCGCCCGATCGTCGAGTCGAACACGATCGTGTCCGATCGTCGAGTCGAACACGATCGTGCCCGATCGTCGAGTCGAACACGACAGCGCCCGACCATCGAGTCGAACACGACAGCGCTTGACCGTTGAGTCCAACACGACCGTGCCTAATCGTCGAGTCCAACACGGCAGTGCCCGATCGTCGAGTCGAACACGACAATGCTCGATCGTCGAGTCGAACACGACAGTGCCCGATCATCGAGTCGAGCACGATCGTCGAGTCGAGCACGATCGTCGAGTCGAACACGATCGTCGAGTCGAACCCGATTGTCGAGTCGAACACGATCGTCGAGTCGAACACGATCGTCGAGTCGAACATGATCGTCGAGTCGAACACGATCGTTGAGTCGAACACGATCGTCGAGTCGAACACGATCGTCGAGTCGGACACGATCGTCGAGTCGAACACGATAGTTGAGTCGAACACGATCGAGTCGAACACGATCGTCGAGTTGAACACGATCGTCGAGTCGAACACGATCGTCGAGTCGAACACGATCGTCGAGTCG